TCTGAAAACTAGGTCGGGCGGATAAGCACGCATTTCCAGGACTTCGAAAGTCTTAAATACGTTGTCCTTCTGCCAAAAGCATACGAAACCCCGTGATCGCACTGTTTTAAAAGGTGTGTCGAATCTCTCGAAACGTTTTTAAGTAGTTGCGTGGTCGCTGTACCAATGTAAGAAACCCCTAACCAAGAAGGAGCGCTCTAAATCCCCCCACCAGGGTCGGAGACCTTTGCATTCGATCAAAGCCGGGGCCTGCACCCACCCAGGCCACCAAGGCACACACAAAGCACTCCTGAAAAGAAGGACAAGCAGGACGACAATGACAAAAGGATGACGACGACGACGACGACGACGACGACGACGACGACGACGACGACGACTCGGACAAGAACCCATAGGGGCAGTGCCGGTGCATTCTTTTAGTTCAACTTGGTGTTTCTTTTTCTCTGTTACTGGAGCCTGCTCTTTTTCACGGCCCAGATTCGCGTTCGCTGCGAGTGATAAAAACAATGGCCGTCATCTGTATATATACTTTGTTACATGTCCCTGCCGAAATCTCATGCCGTAATTACATGTCAGAAGCGGAATCAAGATGGTTGTTCCTCCCTTTTCCTGATATGCGTTGACAGTGGTGGCTATCGCATCAGCATATCGGGGCTCGCGGCCTAGCAACGCCAGAAGAAAACCTTCGCAGCGGACCCACAGGGTCCCAAAGAAACCCTCCGGTCGGGACGAAAGCCTTGCCACAGTCAGCGCCTGAAAGCAGCCCGTTCGGGGTCGACAAATTCCCCGGCCCCTTGAAGCCCTTCTGAAGCCCGAGAACCCTCAGGGACGAACCCATATAGTTCCCTTACAGAACCCTTGCAAACCCCAAAATCTAAACCACTAAACCCTCTTGTCTGCGACCTTTTTTTCTGCGGTAGACACGCGCCTGATGTTTCTGGGGGTCGCACCATCAAGCATGTTTCATGATCAGGGGTAATGGCGGTGATGTGACGTGAGAATTGCCAAAAGCGTTGGGCTTTCGGTCCAAATGACCGCCGGCTAGAGGAGAGCGCAAGTCGCTTTCGACAGGTGGCAGCGGTGACTATGTGACCATTGGGAGCCGCTGGTGAGGTGGAGGCATTGTCGGAGCAGTGTTTGCGTGACCAAAAGATGTGGGAACATTCGGCCTGCTCGCTGGAGGAGGCAGAATGGTTGGTGGCGCCGGTGGCGCCGGTGGAACTGCTTGTCCGGCCGCCCGGATCTCGCTGGGGGAAGCAGCAGAAGATACTGCTCGACATCCTGCCGGAGCTCTTTCGGGTCCACGGTCCTAGCGACAACTTCCGTGACCTCTACCCAGCTTAAACAGGACAAGAACCGGTATGCCAAGTGGAGGAAAGCACGCCTTGATGCCACAATAGAAGCAAGCTACAGGATTTGCAAGCGGCGTGCCTATAAGCCTACAACACAGAAGCAAGCTTTGATTCAGGTTTTGATGGTGGAACCACCGGCTTTGAGGCCGGTTGTCTTCTGGCATTTCGCGGTCACCTCTAGCTCTTCTTGGAGAAGCCGGTCCATTTCTGCGTCCAGGACAAATGGTTTCGCCAGAAGCAGGAAATGTCCTTGCCGAGGCCACACCCCCTTATGACCATGCTTTCTGTCGGTCCCCAAACAAAATTGGCACCGCGTCATGCGATGCCAAAGCTCATGGCGTTGAGCGCAGACGCAGGTTGGGGTCTGCTTGGCGAGTAATCGGCGGATGCTCTTCCAACTGTTAATAATTAGGAAGAGTGTGTCGCGATGCACTCCCAGTTGGATCGTGAGTTGATGCGCCTCTTTAAAGTTTTGAGGGTCCCGGTCCGGGTGCTGGACCAGTGCCTGTCGCCGATACAGGGTTTCCACCGTTCTCCTCCACTGGTCACCCGGAAGTGACCAAACCTAACGGGCAACTGCCCCGACGGAGCCCTCTAAAGGAAGGAGGTGAAAGCACAGGAGAAGCCACAGGGGCCAAAAAACACACAGACCGCTCTAGGAGGGCTCTATGAGGGTTCTAAGGGTTCTACAACGGTCCTACAAGAAATTGCGGCTGTCTTATGAGATCGCCTGTATGCTGTATACAACCATGAAAAGCTCGTATGACACCCTCACCAAAACCGGTTTCCTCTGTCAGAGGGCTGTTTTCAGCTTTTGCGATTGTCACAGGGTCCCTAACCGTAAACAGCATTACAGTGTAGTCCTCCATTGATGGCGTGGCTGGGCCGTCTGCGAGCAGACGCAGCGAGCTCTGGGCGAGCGTTGGCCGACTGTAAAGAAACGGCGGGAGGCACGGGCAACACCCCTCCATCCAAGGCTCCGTAAACCCTGAGCCCCAAACCCTAAACCTGCATAGAACCCGTACAGATCCTCAAGGAGCTCTCATAGAACACTGAGTCAATAAGCCATAAACCTAAGAGGGTTCCTATAAGGCTTCCCTGTGAGGGTTCCTACAAGGCTTTCGCCTTTAGGTGCCCTACTATCTGCTTGTGGCTCCGGTTTTGAGAAGCAGGAGGGTGCCGGTTTAGGATTTAGGGTTTGATGCCGGTGTGGCCGGAATCAAACGGGGTCTAGTCTTCCGGGGTTCGGCACCCTTTGGGTCTACCTTAAGAACCCAAAACCTACTTTTTTGTAGGGTGCCTATAATTCCCATGTTAGGGTTTATAATAAGAATCCACAAAAAAGTGGGTTTTGGGTTCTTAAGGTAGGGTTTGGGGTTTAGGACCCTTCAGTTCAAACGCCTGCATACGTGTAGTCTAACATATCCAAAGCTCGAGCCGGAGGACGTGCAGAATGCAAGTCGAAACAACAGCTACCTACCGAATCCGAAAGGCCCATCACCGGACAGAACCCTAAACCCTAAACCCTAAATCCTAAACATAACGGTTTAGGGTTTAGGGTTTAGGGTTTAGGGTTTAGGGTTTAGGGTGTATCACCGGACAGAACCCTAACCAGACCCCCAAAAGGATCTAAAAAATAGATCCCCTAAGGGGGTTCCTATAAAGTACCCTTTAATAGTTAGGGTCCCTACTTAGGGGATCTATTTTTTAGATCCTTTTGGGGGTCTGGGAAACCCTTATCTATAAACCCTAAACACGATGAGGGGGTCACCTAAGGCTTCGGGCTTAGGGGCTCGGAGCACCTATGTTGCACTGGAAGGCTTCGAGAAGAAATACACAAGGACTTCAAAGACCCGAACATGGTGACATTTTGGTATTTGAGTATGACCCTCCACTCGAAGTCGCGCAGTTGGGCTCCGTCAACATCACCATCATCGCCCTCTGCTGGATTACAGTTTGGCTGGTGTCATTATTGGGACTATTGCCACCACGGTATCATCGGTACACGCTATAAGAACAGTTACGGTTGCAGCTAGTGCTGTCGTCGCCTCGACTGTCGCTAACATGGTTATTACGAGGTTAGAAGTATGGGCCCCTAATATGGACCCTTAGGCCTTTCTCGGGACCCTTAGGAGTACATAGAGGGTATATAGTAGGTGTATAAGGATCCCAGGGTTAAGGGCCCATACTAAGGGCCCATGGTTTCAACCTTAGATATTTGCTGGCCACTGCCACCGTCATGTTATGACCCAACAAGAACTTCCCTAAACCCTAAACCCTAAACCCTAAAACCCTAAACCCTAAACCCTAAACCCTGAACTGTTGTACAAGGGAGTTTTAGAGTTTAACGAACATCGGGGCCCGAAAGGCTACCGCAGGGATTTGGGATTTGTATCACTCAGGGGATGATACCCATATTCTAGGTTTGAAACCATGGGCCCCTAGTATGGGCCCTTAACCCTGGGACCCTTATACACCTACTATATACCCTTTAGGTACTCCTAAGTATCCCTAGAAAGGCCTACGGGTCCATATTAGGGGCCCATACTTCTAACCTTAGACTATATATGAGACAACGAACTTTTATGTATTCAGGCCCCTATATGAGACCTTGGCCAAATCTTGTCTGCCTCCCGAGTTCTGCGTTCACGCTGCTCATGACGGAAGAGCGCTCCACTAATCTAGGGGCCGTTGTATTTAGAATAGGGCTTTGGGGTATATTGTACTGTAATTAAAATAAGGAACCCCCCCAAATATAGCCTAAACCCTAAACCCTAGACCCGCCAAAAATAGTATAGGTAATTATTCATGCCCCTTTACTACGTAGGGCAGAGCTGTGGGGTTTGGGGTTCAATACGATGACTAGGGTCTGGGGTTTAGGGTTTTGGGGTTTAGGGTTTAGTGTTTAGGGGTTTAGGGTTTAGGGTTCAATACGATGAGTGGCGGGTTGTAAAGAAATTGATCATTGGCACAAGCAGCGCCCCAAACTCGCCAACACCACGAAGCGTAAACCCGTATGGAATCATATCGAACCGAAACACAACCCTTAAAGCAAACGTTAAAGGAAGCCTTAAACCTACCCTTGTTTTAGTTCGAACCCATGTACGACCATCCCAGAACCTTTACAAAACCCCTGTAGAATCCCAGAAAAGCTCCTACAAAATTGTCGCACAACGCATACTTTATAGAACCCTCATATGCTACAACCTCGGAATGGTACCCTGCAACCTCTACCCTAAGTGTCCAAGTAGCTAATAATCATATACCTTCCCAAATATTAACCTAGATGACTACTATCCGCCACCAAAGTACCTTATTCTTGGGTCCTCTGGACCCTTAGGGTTTAGGGGATTAGGGTTTAGGGTTAAGGCTCAGCCCCTAAACCCTATAAATCCTGAACCGCTAATGTAGAGGCCTTAAGGAATTGCATAGGGTTTTGGGGTATAGTGTACTTTGAATATAATAAGGTGCCCCCAAAATAATGTAGGCAATTATTGAGGCCTTAATACTGGGGTGCTCTTTACTACCCTGCTAAAATTTTAACATTTAGTACCCTTAATATCAAAAAGGCTAATCCTAAAAGTGATAAAGCTATAAAGTAACTGTAAAGTTCAACCAAGAATATTACCTTGCTTCTGAGCCCCGGACGACTTCTCACCAGCCAAGGCCACTGCGGCGTTCAGCCGTGCCGCGCGAGAGCCACTCCTTTGAGCAAGAAAAACAGACTCCAAAAAAGAAGCCCTCGGTTTAGGGCTTAGGGCCTTAGGGAAAAGGTTTAGGGTTTAGGGTTTAGGGTTTAGGGTTTAGAGAAGCCCTCGGTTTAGGGGTTTAGGAGTTTAGGTCTTTAGGGTCTTAGGGTCTTAGGGTTTAGGGTTTAGGGTTGTTTAGTGAGCTGGAAAAGCAGACTCCAAAAAGAAGCCCTCGATAAAGGGCTTAGGGCCTTAGGGCTTCGGAAAAGGTTTAGGGTTTAGGGTTTAGGGTCTTAGGGTCTTAGGGTCTTAGGGTTTAGGGCTTAGGGTTTAGGGTTCCTTATTGTCTTAGGGCTTTAGGGTGTTAGGGTTTAGGGTTTATTGACAACCCTCTAGAACTCCAAAACCTGTTTAACTAAGCAACGCACTGCAAATCATATGGGTAGTTCTCAAAATTGGGGTCCCCTTTTTAGGTCCCCAATATAGACGGCACCCTTATAAAGAGGACCCTAAAAGGGACCCTAATTTAGAGAACTACCCATATGAAGGACCCTCAATGATTTGAAAGGCTCTGTAGCGGAAGGAAAAACAGCGTCTCTCATGCTCAGGACCCTCTAGGACTTGAACACGCCTAAACCTTAAACCCTAAACCCTAAACCCTAAACCCTAAACCCTAAACCCTAAACCCTAAACCCACACACCTAAATCTTAAACCCTAAACCCTTAAGGCTAAGCCCCCCTGCTTTCCCTGGCCGGGCCACTGCACAGATCGGAGGCTGTACGACGCGCCCTCCGCAACCTGAGCACCGCTCGAAGGATCAGGGCTTGGGCTTAGGGTTTAATAGTTTAGGGTATACGGTTTAGAGTTTAGGGCTTAGGGTTTAGTAGTTTAGGGTATACGGTTTAGGGTTTTTGGTTTAGTAGTTTAGGGTATAGGGTCTAGGGTATAGTGTTTAGGTTTTAGGGTTTAGTAGTTTAGGGTAAAGGGTTTAGGGTATAGGGTTCAGGGTAAAGGGTTTAGGGTTTATGGTTTCGGGTTTAGGGAGTTTAGGGTTTAGGATCAGAGTTTGGAGAGCTCACGGTTCACTGTAGAGCTTAGGAATTTAATACCACAGGATTTAGGGTTAAGTTTAGGGTCTAGGGCACTTAGTTTCTATTTAGTATGTAGGGTTTAGGGTTTAGGGTTTAGGGTCTAGGGCACTTAGTTTCTATTTAGTATGTAGGGTGATACAAGGGGTTGTGGAGGCGTCGGCGTTTATCAGGGCTGTGTCAATGGGTTTTGGCGTGAGTCATCAGCGTGAACCCTGAACCCTGAACCCAGACCCTAGAGTGGGCCTCTGCCATCACGGACTGCACCCATCGAGCTCCATCGGCTTTCTGCTGGATAACCTCATGGCGCACCTGCATGCGGCAGACTCAGTCAGATGATGCTGATGATGATGATCAAGATGATGATGATGATGATGATGATGATGATGATCGTGGTGATGATGATGCTGATGATGATGATGGCGATACTGATGACGATGCTGGTGATGATGGCGATACTGATGATGATGATGATGATGGTGGTGGTGATGATGCTGATGATGATGGCGATAATGGCGATGACGGTGACGGTGATCTGTACATGCACTGGCGAACCACAGAAACAACCACGCAGGGACACGAAATCTTGAAAACGTGCGCGATGGCCCTTTAACCTAAACCCTAAAATATAACCTGAAACTTGAACCATGAACGCATAAAGCCCAATCCGTGAACGCTAAAGCGTAAGCTGTAGCCCCAAACCCTATCATATTCTGTAATGCATGATCTAGATGAAGGATAACGAATCGTCTGATGGTTGGCCCTTGTGACATGTTTAAAAAGCAGGACGATCAAACCTGATACCCTGTTGTTTGAGGGTTTAGGGTCCGGGGCTTGGGGCTTGGACTTTCGGGAGATTCAAACCCCTAAACCCTATACAACTAATCCGTGAACCCTACACTAAGCCGGCCTGCTTCCCGCCCAAAACCCCAAGCGTAAACTGTGCAACTCTGACCGGGGAGGTTTGTAGAGTTTACAAACGGTTTTGGGGTTCGGGATCTGACTCCCAAACCCAAAACTGTACTCTTCTAAGCGTTTGGGTGTTGGCTTGAGGTTTTGCGATTGATCTGCGATGCTTGCCTCCGCTCCCTCACCGGCCACAACCTGAGCTGCGATCTCGTGTGAGCTCTTTTCTGCTGGTCGTCTAGTATAGGGACCTGAATGGGTTTTGGCGTATATTGTACTCGCAGCATCGTAATTAACAGGAACCATTCGAGGATACTATTCCTATTTCTTCAGAGCTCTATACACTCTCTTCGTCAATAACCAAGTCCAAAAAAGTTTGAACTTTCTACTATAGACTAGACATATAAGGCCAAAAAGTTTATAGTTCTCCCACTGGCTAAGTAAGTACAGGTCTGTGTCGATGACCGTGACGCTGGACGACGAAGGAAGAGTAGCCGCTTGAAAGAGACCAGAGAATTCGAGACAGAGGAGCGAACCAGTCGAAGGGGCGAACTAGTCGAATGGGACAAGACACTTTGAAAATCAATTCAATCTGCTTGAAGGAGACTAGACAGTTTGAAAAAGAGTACTTGACAAATCGAAGCAAAGCAGTCCAAAGGCGATTGAAACTTTGAGAAACAATAGCAAATGGTTTGGAAGGGACTAGAGAACTCAAGGTAATGATGACGGTGCTGGTAAGGACTGGTAACGTTAATGCTGCTGGTGGTGATGATGATGTTGCTGATCATGGTGATGACTGCCGCTGCCGTGTGCTGCACTCCGCCACCCGCCTGTCTCCTGCACGCGGACCATGACGATGATGATGATAGTACTACTGATGATGTTGACGACGATGATGATGATGATGATGGTTATGATGTCGATGGCGATAATGATGATGGTGATGATGATGATGACGATGATGATAATGATGACGACGATGATGACGATGATTGTGATTATGCAGCTGCTGATGACGATGGCGAGGACGGTGCTGGTGATCACAGTGCTGATGGCGATGCCAGCTGGTGCTACTGACGTATTGGTGATGCCTGTGAAAATGCCCCCTGGTGATGCGGCTGAAGATAAGGATGATGATAGTGGTAGTGGTGATGGTGATGCTGAGAATAACGGTGATAGTGACGGTGACAGTACTTGATGGTGGTCTGGGTGGTCTGGGTGGTGTTGGCGGTGTTGGTGGCGTTAGTGGTAATGGTGGTGTGGGTGTTGTCGGTGTGGTGGTGCTGTTAGTGATACTGATGCCGACGCCATCCGACGTCCATGCCGATGCCGATGAGTGTCAGGGGAGATCATGTTGTGATGGTGGTAAACGGGTTGAGGAGGGTGGCGTTTCCGCGGGGTGAGTCGTACTTAGTCAAGGATGGGTGTTAAGCACTCCGGTATGCGGTTTTTGATATTAAGAATCTGACCATTGCTGTCATCATATGCAAGTCTAGTCACTTACGAGAGTCCTTTCGGGTTGTTCTCCTGGGATCAGTTCGCAGCGGCAGTATCCGTGTCGTCATATTCTAAACGTGGGTGTCAGCACTGCTGTTAAGGCAAGTGTAGTGCTACTGCACCCTACGAACCCTACATCCGCACGGGGTCCGAGCCCTACACCTCAAATCACTGCAGACCCAAGCCCCGGGGAAAGACGCAGAGGCCCAAGCACGGCACAAACCATTGGACAATGCTTCATCCGACCTTGGCTCATGAATCGAAGAGCAAAATATGTTGGGTTTGCTTTTGGATGAGGGCTTGGAAAGCACTGCGTGATCCAGCTGTCACTACTACCCTAAACCCTAAACCCTAAACCCTAAACCCAACTGCTGCACCTACCATCACTCCCATCACCACGCCGACGACCATGACGACTACTGCTACTCGTGCTCCAGTGCTGCTACCGCCAAGACGACGACATGGGGGTTTCAGCAAAATAGGGGACCCTAATATAGTACCCTAAATAGTAGGATCCTTATTATAAGGACCCCAAAATAAGGTACCCCTAATTTTCGGAAACCCACACATGAAAGACGACGACAGAGACCACTGCTCTTCTGTGGTATTCCTCCATCCTCCTCATCCTGTTCTTCTATCCACTTCAAAAGGGGTTTAGGGTTTAGGGGTTGGGGTTTAGGGTTTAGGGTTTTAAGGTTTAGGGTTTAGGGGTAGAGTTTAGGGGTTTAGGGGTTGGGGTTTAGGGTTTAGGGTTTTAAGGTTTAGGGTTTAGGGGTA